AGAGCATTAAAAGGGTTGTGAGGAAATTTGCTGGACCATGCGTGCTTAGCATTATCAAGTGGTTAGCTTACATGCCTCATCACTTCCTGGATACTTCACAATGTTTAATTGGCAAATATTTGTTCGTTTTAGGAAATTGGCCATGGCAGTATTCAAGTATTGATTTTTATCAGTTTTGTTTTGAAAAACTGAGTCTTTGATAGCTTGGAAATATTTTAATTTTTTTCTCAGGTTGAAAATAATATTATTCCAGAATAAAAACATTATGTGTCTCTGGGTGATCATAAACGTTGCTTTTGACATTGGAAAAAGTGTAAGGTAGAAATTTATTTGTGATGAAGAGAGGCTTTCCTGTAATTTTATGCCCCGCGACGCAGTCGAAGGGGGCGTAATGTTTACCTTACCTTGTCGAATCTATGCATAGGGGTGGGTGTGGGGGTGTGTGGGTGGGTGTGTATGACATGTGCGTGACCAGAATCTTGTCAGTGCAATAACTTGAGAGATGCTTTACGTAGGAACTTGAAATTTGGTTTGTTGATTGCTTTAAGCAAGTCTCAAGAAGCTTAGTGAATTTGTGTGCAAAAGGTTAAAATGCCTAAAACTGTAACAGTCACAACAACATTTTGTCCGCACAATAACTTGAGAACTACCTGATGTAGGAATTTAAATTTTGGCTTGTGAATTCCTTTTTGGTCATCCCAAGAAATCTATAGAATTTGGGGCCGAAGTTTCAAAGGTCAAGGCCACAGGTCACAGTAGGTAAAACTATATACATCAATATATGTAAATCTCTTTCAGCATGATAAGTTGAGAAATACTTGATGTAGGAAGTCCAACTTTGGCTTGTGCATTGTTTTGGGGGTAATCCTGCAAACCTACCACTTTAAACCTGAACTATCAATGTTAAAGGTCGCAGTGGCCAAAACAAGAGAAATCTTGTTAGTGATCTTAAAATTGTAGGTTTAGGGATGGGTTCAGTGGGTCATTTGAGTTTGTTTGTTTGGGTTTTTTGTAGACAATTATTTATGTCCTAATCATTGTTGACATTTGAGCACAATGTTGGTTATTTTTCCCTTCATGTAAACTTGGCTATTCCTTCCTCCATGATGTAAATGATTTACTGGAAGTAAATAATACTCTGGTTTGGGATTTCTTGTTTCTTTGTTAACAGATAGTCCAAAGAAGCATCTCAAACCTAACACATTCTACAAATGTGCCGTCCTAAAAGGTAAACGTGTAGCCAATATTCAACACTCAGGATCTTGCTTATTAGAACAAGACCAAACTATACTGGAAACAGACAAGAGGTTAAAGATACACCTTGGAAGTTTCAGAAACTCCACAATTACTTTAACAGATATTTTAGGTGCATGTGTTTGAGGGACTGTAAGAAGAGATTTCACAGATGAAGTTCAAATTTGTTTTGAACTCTTCGTCAAAATGCTGTTTCAGGCATAAATGCATCAAAAAAGGAACAAATAGGAAATTCAATAAAAAGATGTGGAGAATGATGAATTAACCTTGGACTGGCAAGTTTTGATGGTCATTTTGATAATCCTCTTTATCTTTTATGGTGGGCAAAGGTTGGTGCTTCCAGATAATATGTGGTGTTTACATTGAAAACTTTCATTTTATAGATGAGACTTACGTTTTTTTAAATATTCAGTCTCACTTTTTTGGCAATACATGATGAGATTATTCTTGAAGTGCCTTTTGAATAATTTCAGGTCACAAATCCTTTGTCAGCAATGTGACCTTTGACCCCAAGGGTCGCTTTCTTCTCTCCACGGGCTGGGATGGCCAAGTCCTCTTCTGGAGCACTGGCGAAATTGACGACATCATCAAGATCGGCGACAACACCATCACAATGGAATGCTCCTCTGGGTTTATCCTGGGTCAGAACCAAAGAACCCAGAAGACATCAGGTACCCAGGCAGGAGGGTGCCCATTCGTACCCCTGTGGGCAGGCGTACTGGGTACGGGGGTACTTATCTTGTTGAGAAGCAGCCCATCCAAGGTTCACCTAGTGGGCTACGAGGTACCAAAGACAGTTCTGTTCCGTATGTAATTTGAGGACAGATTTCCAAAACAATGTAATACCCAAATTTATGTATATATTTTTATAAAAACATTTTCACTCTAACATTTTTTGACATCATTCCTTGAGAAAAGCACTGAAGAAAGTTGTGCTGCAATGTTATTTCATAAATTGGAGTCCAGTCAAGTTTGTGCTGTTTCCAGTTTTTGGACTCATGTTTTATTCATCTTTTGGCTTAGGACTTGAACCATTTTCACGCAATGTCTTTGTGACCACAGAGTTGGACCATTTCGGGTGGTACTACACTATAATGAATGTTAAGAGAAACTCAGCATCGTTGTGGTTGCCAAATGGAATAACATTGCTGATCTTTAAATAGATTGGCTCTTGAATTTCATAATTCATAGTAAGGTTTTTCCTCTTAGACTTTAAGCTGTGCCAATTCCAGAACGTAGAAGCTTTTGTTTCATGCACTTTAATGCATTAATCCATCATGTTTTTTATAAGCCATGCTCTTGTATAGGAGTGCTTAGTTTGTTAAGGAAAATGTATTGCGCATTACTAATGGAGTCTCCCCGGGCACCGAATGCTACAATATGGTGGCAAGACAGGGTCGCAATGCAGCTTTTCAATAAGCCATGCTCTTGTATAGGTTTACGAGTACATATACTTGTGGTCAGCGACATATCCGGCTTTTGGTTGTCAGGATGAGCAAATTCAAAAGCAATGCGGCTTTGAGCTCATTCAATTTGATGTCGGAGGAGAAACATTTCAAAAACCTTTCTTACGGTTGCTTTTATTTTGTGGTTTTTTTTTTCTAAAGGTTTTGGTGCTGAAATTTGATAAATAAATATACCCATTACTTCCTTTCCTACTCACCTATGTCACCTATGAAGTATTATTTTTAAAAAAAAGGTAACAAATCCGTCAGGCCCCCCTGGATGCGCCACTGCTGGTGGTGGAAGGGGGAGGGGGCCAGTGATCCCCCCCCAATTTCTTAAGAAGGGGACATAGCCTCCCCTCATAGTCAGAACACAGTGGGGTAGAGCTTACTGGATTGGTCTGTTAATATCTTAAGCCTGATGTATAACAACTGAAGCCCCCTCCCCTTGGGAATCATTCCTCTGCTGTTAATTACAACTAAACTGACTCCCTCCACCCCCATCCAAGGTGCCCAGTGGGAAGGAATTTGGGGAGATGGCAGGTCAATAGGATACCTGATTTGCTGTAGATATATCAGTGTAGAAGTAGTTTTTTTTTTATTTTACATTCCTAAGAAACATTAACTAAATTAACCGCCAAATTGATTGTATGCGTCTAATGAGGAGCACTACTCGATATGGAGGTGGTATTTTGTTCAGCATGATTTGTTACGAGTTGAGTAATTACACTTCCATGTCAACAAACAAACAAATTAAGGTTCACATTACCTTAAATTGTAGATGTGAGTGACGAACTATACATCAACTATTTTGTATGTTAACACTGTAGTTGGATAAAAGTTCCGTAAGAGTCATCGGAGAATAATAAATGTCGCCCCCCCCTACAACCCAGTGTACCCATTTTTTTCCTGCCGAGGCTCTGAGAATGTAATCAAACTCATAATTTGCATAAGGCCAGGTCGGACGTTGTCTTCATTAACATTACGACTGATGTACACGACGTCGACTGGGCTAAATTTGCATACACTTTAATACTGAGAAATTTCAAAGGTGACTTACTTTAAATGCTTTTTCGTATATTTTATCTTGATCTTATTGCCTCGTGTCTCGACAAGACTACTAAAATACACTCAAGGTACTCACAAATATTACATCATTAATGACTTCAGTGCAGGCAACCGGCATATTGATGTCAGACGTATAGATCTAGGGCCTAAAGCAAATGGGTTCAATAAAAAGCGGCTTGGTATACGCCAAACAGTTCGTACCTGTTGAATTAATTACTGTCTAATCTATTAAAAAAATATTTCATGCAAACAATACTAATACTAGTTTTACATAGCATCACCGTCACCGAACGAGTGCAGCGACTTCATGGTGACATTAGGGCCTGCTCCTCATCTTTAGATCAAAGATTCATTCCCTTTGGAAATTATGCGGTGGTTAATACTTCCGATAAAACAACGGACATTTTATAGAAAAGCTAGCTTCGCTCCGATCTCCTTGGCCTCAAACCAAAGAGAAGACACGATAAATATAAGCAGACCATAGTAACACTTATCTTACAATGCTATACACATCGTTTTTATCCTGTACAGGCATGCCATAATTGTCAAGCTAGGAACTCAGCTCCAGTGGCGTATCCAAGGAAGAGGAGTTGTTCCGGGATACATTTTGCCTTTTAGAAATAATTTCACCCACAGCATTTTAGAAACGGTATGCTACCATCTGATCTTGGAAAGGGTTGAAAATGCTTATAGGGGTGAATAAAAGTGGACAGTTTTCTTAGGGGGGATGATTTTGCCCCCAGGACGCGCGACCTAGATACGCCACTGCTTGATTTTTTTTAAATTAATTTTAATTAATTTGTTTCTTAATTTCATATCATTAGTAACAACTTTTAATCCGTGACGTACGTTTTTTTAATGACAATCAATATGACTCGTTTCTTGTTTCCAGGTTCCCCTCAAAGGTGCACCCTGAGTTAACTTTACCCCAGCTGGGAGAGTGACAGGTTTTTCCCTTTGGTAGTCCGAGTAACTAGGACTCTACGAATCGCCTCTTTTAAGCATTTGGACGTGGTCGGCAATAGTCGCTGACCACACATGTCCAAATACATGTACATGTTTTAAAAGAGGCGATTCGTAGAGTCCTCGGACTATGCTCCTTTTGGGAACTCCACCCGTGGATGTCGTTTTAGTGTTACAGTCAATCAAGTGAATCAACATTGCGAATTCGGTTTGTGGGGGGGGTCCGCTAGAAGGTGAAAACGTGGATTTGTGTTCCCACCATGGCAACTCTTCATAAAACCTACAAGCGGCCGAGTTCCGCGTTGAGTCCGTCGATGGTTGCAATCCGTGGGGACTGCCGAGTTGATCCAGCCATGTGCCTTGGTCTCGGGACGCGTCTACCTCTTCCTGGCAACACCCTTGTTGGGTGGCTTAAAGCGGAGGACCTCCTCGTCAAAGATGCCTTGACGACGTTCCAGAACCGACCCACAAACACGACGTATACGATCGGGTTGATGAGAGAGTTCAGCGCACCGAACCAATTCCCAAGCAAGATCAGTGTCACGCCGTTCCACTCAGACAAACCGTAATAAATGTAGTAGAGATTTATGTAGAAGTACAGCGAGTAACAGATGAGATAGGACAGCACGGAGCAAGTCAGCATTCGGAAAGTCTTCTGGACTGCCTCGGTGCACGCCTTGGGTGCCACGCTGTTCCCCTTCGTCTTGTCTCCTCTTCGAGTGGGCGGGGCGTCGCCTGTTTTTAGTAGCTGGTCTGGGCTGATGTGCTTCCGTTTGATGAGATGCCGGAGGATTCGAAGGTACAGGAACAAAGTGGTGAGGAACGTGGAGCCGTAAACAAGGATGAAGATGGTGCTGGCGTAGATGTGAGCGAAGACCTGCTTCTTCTCCGGGCGAGAACTCATGCAGATGGTTACATTAAAGCTGGGAAAAGTGGGCAGAGGTTACACAGAATGAGATATGGGACATCGTTCACAGATCTTCGAAGTTTTACAGATTTGTTCGAAGGATTTAAATGTGTTGACGCCATCTCCTGAGTAGGAAGAGCTGAGTAACATTTCGGAAGAACCGGTTTATCTGCGTCTTTTGAAACCAACCCCTTCATATCAAATCGTCCCTCTTAATCAATCAACGTTACATACTCTCATTGTGTTGCCATTTGTTTAACTTGTCGGACCGAGACACTGTCCCTTACATGTGCTTGGTTATGACCCAACTGTCCACATACTGCCAACAAATCCCTTTCCACTCTCCTCTTTGCAAGACATGTCACAGGTCTGGATTCTGAGGAACCGCGTATGCAGAAAACAGGTCTCAATCTTTAAACGAAATTAACAGAATTGGTGTTGGTCACTTACCACAATCTGTCAGGCAAGGGTTCCATGAAATTTGCTCAAAGGGAGAGACAGCGCATGCCTTGGCTTTTGATTCATCCAAATATTTTGGGGTGCAGGAGTAGGGTTATACAGGTCTGCCTAATTTTGCATGATATTCAATTTTAGATATTAATAAAATTAACTTTTGGACAGTAAGTCGAGTAACAACATTTGAATCTTGCTGAGTATTACACTTGGCCATATGACGTCGGGTGTCCATTCTTACCTTTCACCGGCGCTGTTGATGTAGTGAAATACCTTCACCTCGCCAAAGATCGCCATCTGTCCGAGATGGGTCAAGATGCTGAATGACCAGAAGAAGAAGATAACACCCCTCGCCCTGGTGGATTTATTCTCTCCGATCATCTGCAAGGGGTGCATAACGGCGCAGTAGCGCTCCACCCCAATTGCCAACATGGTCAGGATGCAACAGGTGCCGAAGAAACCGCTCACAAAGAAGGTCAGATGGCACACGGCGTTCGTGAAGAAGGCAGCCGCGGTCTCGCCCCGGATCAGGAACTGGACTATGAAGAGCGGGCATTCCGCTACCACCACCATCAGGTCGCAGACGGCCAAGTTGATGTTGTAGATGTTGGAGTGCTGGGAGCGGAGCTCCCGGTAGCACACCACGGCAAAAATAATGAAGAGGTTGCCCAGAATGGCGGGCACCATGACAATACCATAGGCGACGAGAAAAGCGATGGTTATGCCGGTTTGAAACACCAGGTCATCCGAGAGTGTTGGAAGAGAAGGGATGTGTGCTGAAACTTTCAAGGAATCGGTGTAGTCTGTCACATTCATCAATTCTGGACTAGCTATCATGCCAGATTCAACAGTGCTGGAAACATTCAATTGCGCCATTTTGAGGTCCAGCCGCAACGAGAGAGTCACGGTGAGTTTTTGGTCGTTTGTTGTCGTCTGGTTTCTCATTGACGCAAGTTCTTCGCGGAGGCCGGTGGGAAGGTTGAGGTAAACATCTCCTGTGAACATTAATTTTGTTTTCAAACCCGGAATATCTCATCAATCAGTCAAAGGAAATGTTGATGGCCGATCCCCAACGTTGGCGATGAACTGATAACAATCGGTGTCATCTTCCTAAACCAATACGCTCCGCTCAGACGTTGGTATCTTCAGATATGCATATGATAATGCGGCTCCATCTTGTCAGAATTTCTCGCTGTATTCTACATGTTGAAGCAAATGAAAAACACATCTTACTTTACACGAGATCAGTCGTACCCGTAACTACTTCAGCACAATCTATTTCCTGCCACTTCCTTCAAAACTGTATTTTAGATATTTAATGACAACTGAACTCTTATGAGTCACTAATTTGAACAGAATAATCAAAGACTTTGGATATTTTGTGGTTATACCTTGTATTTAGATGGTCACTTTAAAAGGGGGCCTTGTACTTAACAGTCCTCTTCACTGTATTCTGACAAGAGCAAATCCAGAACCATTTTTTTCCAGACAGGTGTAAAATATGAATAAATTCTATGTAACCTTTTATGACTTTTTGACATGACGCTAAAGTTTACAGCCTCTGGCACGTTTGGGGAGGAAGAGAAATTTCAAAAGGAAAAATTGAAAGGGGCCAAATGTTCAAAATTCTGACTATTAAACCCGTGTTTTTTTATTTATTTTTTTTTCTCAACGATTGTCCAAATTTCCTCCTTGGAAACATCATCTTGACGTGTTACGAGACAGAAATAAATCGAGCTCGAAAGTTCGAAACAAAAAAAAACAAAAATTGAAACAACTCTTTTGCACCAAACACTGAATCCTTTGGGAGCTAATTTTGTTATCAACCTCCATCATTCACACTCCCAACCCATCCCCGCCCCCGCCCCCGCCCCCGTCCCGCCCCCGTCCCGCCCCACCTCCACCTTACCCCCATCAGCGGTGATGAGCTTAGGTCATTCCCTCGTCTCTTCGCGTCCAATCAACATTCTGATCTCCGCAGATGCCGTCCATTTCCCTTTATTGCACTGGACAAAGGTCACCTTCATTTCACAAATTGAGATCTAAGGTTCTGGATGCCCAAGGACCTTACCCTATTGGAAAATTGTTGATGTGCTGTGCTACACGTGCATTCAAGTGCTCATTCTGCAAAGCATTCTTTGGGAGGAAAATGCACATAATGATCACTGATGTAGCGGGAAAGGGCTGAGAAAAAGAAAAGAAAACGATAAGAAGGAAACGAAAAAAAAAAAGAAAAAGAAAAAGGAAACGGGATAAAAAGGACTAAAATCTCCGATGAAAGTCCCCCTCCCCGGCTCCGGAGAGAGATTGCCCCCTCTTGGCGACGTCATTGATAGTATACACGGAGAGCAAAATTATCGGCGTATTAAAAGCATCAATCTCAACAAAATATTGGAAGAAAATACCTTTGTTTTGTTTTCTTCTGCAAGGGATTCGCCGTCCATGCATGTTCTTTAGCCAGTCTGCTCATTCAACCTCCCAGAAGTTCTCAAGTTAATCCGCGTCTCTTAATCGACTCGGTACGTATAGAGCAACTTGTACCAACATGATTCCTGAAATCCTATCTCCCTCTGCTGTTGACACTCGAAGATTCGACAAGATCGCATATGACTGTTTAGTGGTAAGAAATAACGGTGCTCTGCTGTAGTAATGATGGTCTGGTTGCTATGATGCTGACGCATCCAGGCGCTTCTTCGACGGCTGGAAAGAAAGGAATGGTGTTCGGTTGACGACACAAAGCTGATTTCATTTAACTTGGACTCATAATTTCAACCCTACATGTGAGTACAGTTCGGCATTCCAATGACAGCAGATTCAATCTCCTCAGTCCATTACTTGCTTAAAACAGTCTCCCGTAGTGCAACAAAAGACTGTGCAGAGTAAATAGAGAGTAAGAAATTGTTAGTTTTGAGATACATCGATGAAAAAGACCACCCAAGAGCATCATCACGTTTCTTCAATGGCCAAATCGGTTGTTTAGGATACTTTGCAGCACCATCAGGCAAAATGAACACCGTATGGTGAGGGGGGCGTATCTTAAACTCCGTTGCCATGGTGACGTCGAAGACATGTCACTGGCTAGGCTCCAACCTCAAGGAGACCCAAGTGGTTATGCGGTCGCTGGGACTATATGTCACCCGTGCGCATTAAACACTCTAAGTTGTTAATTGCTTAGGAAACGTACATTAACCAATTCGCTTGCAGTCTTTTTAATGCACATATATTCGTTTAGTTCGTGTGGCTTCAAATGATCAGTTTAATGAGCCATGTTCTCATCATGGGCATCACCGGGATTTTGTAAGGTCGGAGAGCACTTTTTATAGGGTCAGGTAAAGCACTCGTCTGCAACATATTGATAAACCACTGACAGTGGAAGATCCATTTCGAGGTTTCTCAAGCAACTTGATGATTTTCATATCTTGTTTACATATCTTGTCCCCACTTCATTGTTTTTGTGTGTTTTGTTTTTTGTTTTTTTGTTTTCCTTTCCCCCTTGTTGTATCTCATTTTTTTCCCCGCCGGGGGCAAGTGCCCCCTTGCCCCCCCCCCCGACGCCTTTGTGTGTTTGACGATCCTCAAGGGACACCTGCAAAGATTTTCAAATGAGACTTCACCTGGAAGCAAATTGTTTTGTCGAACAATTCGACACGTGTTGGCGCAGAAAACAACATTCAGCCCGTGTGTCGTTAGAACATCCGAAAGGAGACAAATCGGTAAATGATTTTAATCCACCCCCAATGACTTGAAATAATCTTTCAAAGTCTTGAAAGAAATAGTCCTATCCTTAAAATTAACTGATTTGTCATCAGGTCTTGAAAAGAAATGTAAGTTCAAATATCATCTAAAATCCGAAATAAATGACTAAACTGAGAACAAGTCGAAGCTGTGAAGATGGATTTTTGTCCTATCTCTACACAATAGCTAAATTGCTTGAACCGTACGAGCTGGTTAGATTCACGCCTAGTTCCAAAGCAAACATCGGTAGCCTAGCACGGAGACGTTTAAAAGCCTAATCGGTCACCACGGTAAAAACAAATAAATCCATCCATACTGCAGTACAACCAGACTTCAGGCTCGTAATGTTGATCAGCCTGCAAGAGATGCAGTGGATGTGCTACAACATTTGCCGGGAATTTTCAGCCAGCCAGCCAAGCGTCGCATGTGTGACTGAGCATCCGTCCAAGGACATCACCCGGACTGATGCGCCAGTAAATTGAATGCACCAGTTGCGTACATTAAAAGCGAGCCCTCAATAATCAGGCAACTACATACTGACGACGACCCATTTGTTCATTTAATAAATACTGTTTGTTGAGACAGTATGCACTCTGGAATCGGGGCCACTTCAAAGGAAAACGTGAGCTTTCATCTCGTAATTCTTTACCAGCTGGAATGGCCTTTATTCTCTACTTTAAACGAAGGCTGTGTCCATCTTCTGTTCGCATCCACCCTGCAAAATCACTCTAAACAGTAATGAGCTGAAAGTCTTAAAAACACGCCTTCAAATGAAATGCAGTGGAAAGAAGTGGTTTTGCTTGATTTTATTGTGACTTCCCATTCTCAAACTTCATATACAACGTACTTCTTCAGATAACCGTCATTAATTTCTTCATCACTTCAAGATTATGATATAAATAGTAACAGAGTAAGCCATTGGCATAAATAAAAGAAGTTTAAAGATAATTGCCACAAAACAAAAAAAGGTAGGTGTCTGTTTATGAGGGCAACACCATACCGAGCCTGGCAAAATACATGTCCTCTTGTTGATTCAAATATTTGCTGTTAAAAAGCCTGTTTGGTTGAAGCATTCAGGCCTAATACTAAACGATTTATTGAAATTGGTTGAATGCAAGGAAGTGCATCATTAACCAAAATTGTATGACAATATTTAACATTTTGATAATTATTAATCATTTCTGGTAATGACACCAAGAATTCCTCAAAAGTGCCGTAGGCACTGTAGCTCGCAAGCCTGAAGAAACCTGTAGAAAGGGAGAACAGTGAGAAGCAGTTACAGTTTTAGAGGTGGGAGGAAAACCCCAGAGGAATATTCTGGGTAAAACCCACGGAATCAGGTAGGGACTGAAAACCCAATCCACATGTGGACTGAGTCGGGAATCGCACTCAAAACTGCAGAGGTGGGAGGTGAGGAAAGAACCACTTTGCCAACCTGACTAGGTTGATAAGATGACATGGCATGGAAAACCTAAAAAAAAAAAAAAAAAACCAAAAAACAAAAAACAAAAAAAAAACAGAAAAAAAACAAAAACGTAAAAGATAAAAAAAAAAGAAAAACAAAACAATACTGAAAAGCCACATTTGGTCTCTGATCATAAAAACCTGTGTAAAGTGAAAAAAATTGATTGGAGCTAGGTTTCACCAAGTAAAAATAGATGAAGAAAAAGGGGCGTGGAAACAATAACATTGTCATTACTGAAATTCAAGTGTGTTCCTGTCAGGCATGCCTATTCACAGACACAACAGGTGTTTGTCATCATTTCATTGAACATGTTCCATGCACTGTGTGCAACTCGCATGTCAAAGTGGTACCTGCATGCAACGCATCTTTCTTTGGCTCTCGCAGCACTGTCATCTCAGTTCTTGCATTGAGTCATTTAGCTGACTGTAAGGTCATTTAGCCGACTGTGGTCTGGTGATGACATCTCCCACCCTCAACTTTTAAGAATGCCACACGGTACCCACTCTGAGCACTACACAATTTCTTTGACTTGAATGGAACATTTTCAAATGAAAATAAATGCAAAAAAGGTCGAGAAACTCCGAGTGCTTGAGTAGTTAGAATTATTCTAAATCCTGTAAGTTAATGGTGCTCTCTCGAAAACCATCAATGGATGATTCCATCTCCCGATCAGTTTGAAGGAAATCAACGCTGCTGGATGTTGGACACTGAGCATGGCTGTTAGGGTCAGCGGCTGGCAAGATGGTGGATACATTGAGGTCGCTGGTTGAGGACTCTGAGGTCGTGGGGTGTGAGGTCAATGGGAAGGTGAGCTCACTCTCGTCTGGGGGATCATCCTGTCAGTGGAAAGCGCAAAGACAACACTTTTGGTTTATGTCTGAATTGCTCCCAAAACCTCTGAATCAGGCACAGAAAATATTCAAGCGTGAAATAATTTTTTCAACCGAGACAATAATAACTAGCAGTTTTTATGACCAAACATTTTCTAAATTAGAGAAAACTATTCTGTAATAAATCCACAAAATATAAACGGGGTTTGACCTCGCCGGTCCACTTGCCAAATTTTAGTCAGGATGGCCCCCACGGTGGCGATCCTAGCATCAGAGATGCCACTGGCCTATGCCAAAAAAATTTGAACATCAACATATCCACAGCGCTTCGCACGATGTCGGTTTTATATGTATTAATGCATGGGTCTGCGTGCATGTAAATGTATGCAACATGCATTTTCATCGTGTAGTCGCCTATAAAAAAAAAAAAAGTTCTTTCTTGATCATTGCTGGTCAATCACAGAAATGAGTTGCAGCCTACATGTAGGCCAGTCTGCTGTTTTTTACTCAAAAAGATACATACGTTTTTAATTTTGCTTGATCGAATTGGATCAACACTTGCCAAAGATTTATTTAACTAAGGACTACTGCATACATCATGCAGTCTTTTATTAGGCCAAAAAAATACATGTAATGTTGTGCTGTGCATGCCTCTCAAAAAATTGATCGGTAGGTCGGAACATTTTTTTGTTTGGGGGCGATTTTGTGCTGATTGAATGGCATCCGTAGGGAGGAATTCTTCCAAAAGTATCTCAAAAAGTGAGGAACATCTGTCTTAATCTATGTAAAAATTTCTACATACGGCAATTCACAAGAAAATTATGGACAATTCAGGCAATCACGACGGCAAACTGGCCAACAATGTCCGTGTATTGCGTGGTAAGCATGCATGATGCATCCAGACCAGTGGGCGCTAAAATGAGCAGAACAACCTCAAATTTCTCATGAACACAGAAAATACATACATAAATAAGAGACCAAGTTCTGTGAATTAACTTGCAGAAAACTTCTTGCAACATAGCAATGGATGTCTTTCCGGCCTGACACGTACAGCTGATGAAGAGTGGTTATGTACAGTACATTCAGTACACGTACAGTACAGACTTGTACTGATTGCTACATTTGTGTGACGCATTCTTTTTCATGGGTGCTGCGCGGCGGGAACCAGAGCAGCTACGTTTAATGCATAGAGTTTCGCACACATGTTTTTCACCACTGGGACAGCGCACAAAGAATTGTAAGGGCGATTTCATGTCTGTGCGTGGCGCTAGGTGACATGGGCTGGTGATGAGTGATCAGCCTGATTAATGTCTTGGGCGTAATTCTAACACAAAACTAATAATAAATCGTACGCCATAATCCCAAATACTGTGCTGATATTTTAAGAGCTGTTATTGACATGTTGGTCGGACAATTTGTCCGAGCATTTTTTATTTTGTTTGGACAAACACAATAAGTGCTCGGAGTCAGAAAATGTCCGATGTCCGACAGTAATTTCACGCTCTGATTGTTATCCATTTCTTCGAGCCATCTCCACTGAAATTTATCCTTGACATCTCTTTCAATATCATGAAGATCCTCGTTTCTGTTGACAATTAGATGTTGCATTTTGTCGGCCCTCGAACATGAAGTCGATCCACGCGTGTTGATCATCCAAAGTACAGTACAATGTACGTTCATAGTGCACATTCATGCACCGCACATGAGGCATGAGCATGCATCGAGCTAATACGCGTTAAAGGTCAATATTTCAACGTATTTCCAGTCACTGACAACACCACTCAACGCTGTCCTTCGTATTTTGCGCCACAATGACTGACGTAAGCACTCTATTCTGACGACTGCGCTCAAGATTAGGTACCCAGTCGCGCGGCGCAGGATACATGCGCATCATAGATTTGCTTCCAGTCTTTTCTTCTTTATTTAATTCTGTCAATGTTAAAAACATTGAAGGGGGAAATGTAAAAAAATCGGATTTGGGGGAAAAAATACCAAAAAGTCAGATTTCCGATTAAAATCGGAAAAGTGGCATCTCTGTAGCATACACATAGATTGCAGCCATACTTGAGCTCAGTGTGTTCAAAATCACGGAAATATAAATTTGATGCGAAGTGGGGATTTTCCCATCAGTTTTTGCTCTTTGAGCTGGAAAACCTACCTACAAAATTGCTTTGATTGTGACAATATTAGGATCAAATTGAACAGCAAAGATCGTATCGAAATGAAAGGAAATCGGTCTGCACTAGCGACATGCATGCACTGGCTGCACCCATGTGAACGTCATAATATGCATGTCGTGTGACGTGAAAGGGCTGTAGCTTTGCATTTGTTGCCGCTGTATCTAAAAGAACATGCGATACACTTGTTTCGATTTATGATTGGTGGTTGGAATGAAAGTGCTGGGGTGGTTGTAGTTTCGTGATTGCTTGGTCGCGGCATAGTTGCGGCACATGTGGCAGCAAATCAAAGAGTCAAATTAAAATTTATGCAAGTTTGAATTCAGTGGTTGCTTTTTTAACTTACTAGAATTCTGATACACGAACTAAATTTCCATAAAATAAGAAATACTTCACTGTGAAATCAGCTTGTTATAGTAGTTCTGGCTGGGGAATGGATTTCTTTTGTGGTTACTGTTTATTTGTGAAAAAGTTCTCGCGCAATCAGGAATTGCTTAAAACCGATCTAGCGTTAGAACAAGCAAGAAAAGCGTCATCGTCACTTCAGTCGATCCCGTGAGTTGAAAATTCAGAGTTTACATTT